ATCCTATTTAAATCTTATGAATATTAATTAAAACACACCTTTGATTCCAATCATATTTCTCATTCTCATTCACAAGGGTCACTCTCTGGAAACTAGGTTAACTTTTTGGTCTTGTGAAAGGGTTCGCTAGCTAATCTTCCATGGATGATATTCATATTTGTCCCATCAGAAATTTATGAGTTAGCAACTCAAGATGCTAGTCATCATGCTACATAGGAAAAACATGCTATCTAATTCATACAACGTAAAGATTGAAAAATTTGTACATACCTCTCGGGAGAAGATTTGGATAAGAGATCTTCTTAGAATATTGAGGCACCTTGCTCGGATAGTAGTAAGGACTATGATGTAAATGTGAATAACTAGCTAGCTTGGCTTTATTCAATGGTCTCTTTAGCCAGTACATGGGGCACTTGCCTTTACCTGAAAAAATTGCAGACATATGATGAACATTTAAAAATACTTAGTAAATGATCGAACTAGCAATGTACTTTATGACTAGTGGTACCTACTTTCCATAATTGTTCTTTAGGCTCTACTTTTTTTAGTAGGAAAATGCATAATATTTCTCCACAAACGGTTCATGCATGTATGCATGAATCCACTTGGTGAGTTGTATAAGTACTCCTTAAACTTGACTATGAACTAACACATGCTCACGCTGCCGAAAACTAACATGAAGAAAAAGAGTGCGTATAATATTTAGTGTACGCGTTCGAACGTATCATACTAAAAAAAAGTAATCCATACTCGTATGACATACAACATGCATGAGATCCTACGTTAAGAACCATGATTCAATGAGATGATACATATCATACTACTTACTTATTATAACAAAAAATTTCTATGATACATACATACATATTCATGGTATTTCATTCATATTTATCATACATGGTACATCATGGTGTCTCAGAGGGCATAACTTGATCGTAATACATAGCAAGCATGAATTAACAATCAAGAAGTACATGCATCACAACAATCCATTAGAATGTCAGGTGCAATAACACGTAAATAGACCACATGTTACGTGATATTCATGCATCGATCAATTTATCTAACCTAGATTGTAACATTCCAATAGTAAGTTCACTTACAATTTCAGGCTCAATTTGGTGGTCTTAAGCTTGCTTTGGTCCAATGTTCTTAGATTCGGCTTCACATTAGGGTGTACATGGTCCGGGTTGGGTTGAGTTGGGTATTTTTTTTTACCCGAACCCAAAACTTTTCACAACCCAACCCTCTATTTTCTTGAAAATTAATTAAAATAAAAAAAAATATAAGGATAAATCATAAAATTAAATAAACTAGTTTAGAGGTATTTATAAAAATAAAAAAATAAAAAAATATTTTAATTGTACATCACCTTATAAAATCTTAAACTATTAAAAAAATAAAAATATATATAAAAATGTGTAAATAATATAGAACAAATTACTAAAAAAAAAATTTAATTGAAACAGGTTTATTTAGATGTTACCTTAGAAAGTCCTAAAATATTATAAAAATAAAAATGTATAAAATATGTGTAAATAATATCAAAGAAATTAATAAAAAAAATATATTTTTTAATTGAAATAGGTTTACTTATACTTAACCTTAGAAAGTCCTAAAACTATTAGAAAAAAATAAAATTATATATAAAAATAGGTAAATAATAGGGAAGAAATTAATAAAAAAAAATAATATTATAGAAAAAATTAAACAAAATAATAAAAATAAAACATGTATATATAAAAGAAACTAAACAAAGGGTAATTGTCCGACCCTATCAAATCTAAACACACACAAAAATTCTTAATATATTTAATATATTTTTATTTGGCTCAACCCATGAACTCGAAACCAAACCAATTTCGTTCGAATTCAGAAAAAATAAATTCAACCCTACCCAAAATGCTAATCCAACTCAACCCATTCCAACCCTTATAGTTCGGGTTGGGTTGATCAGGGTTGTCGGGTTGAATGTACATCTTTACCTCACATAATCCAACTTCACCTATGATGTTTCATCTATTCAAAAAATTAAGTTTTAGAGTCTATCGGGGCCAACCTCACTCTTAGAACACTCCTAGAACAAAACAATAAAAAAAAAAATTAAGTAGAAAATAGAAGTGAGAAAATTGAAATGAAGTATTGAGTAAGTACACTTTCAACAGATAATGCACAAAAATCAATTTTCTGAAAAGAAGAAAATTGCTACTCACCATTCACCAATTTCAATTTCCATGATCTTTTTTGTTCTTGTTTGTTTGTTTGTTGATTTTATCGCAGCATCGATTTTCACAATTTTACAATCACTTATTTCGTGATTTTTCCCTTCAAGAACACAATCTACTTAATTTGATTCCTAATTATTCTTCTCAAATTCCAATTATCAAAAAATACCATCCATTAGATTACCCTGTTAATAAATCTGTTGATCGTTGCAACTTCGACCACCACCACTGCGGCGATCACATATCCACCGCAAAGATTATGCTGATGGATACTAATTTCTCGGCGTCCAAACCACCGCAGGCAGCGGCGATGGACATCGAACAGATGCCAGAGAATCCCCAGCGTGGTTCCTACCACCGCCGCTCCCTCTCCGACACTTCCTTCCGCTTCCCTAACCTCGATGAGCTTCTCTTCTTCGATCCTTTAGAGCTCGACCTCTCGATTCTCTCTTCCCCTTCTTCTCCTCCTCCCGGCGGCACTGCCATGGCCGTCGATTCATCGTCTAATTCTAAGTTATCTAATGACGCCGTTCACCCTAAGCCGGAGCCGATTAACTCTGGGTCATTCGGCGGGCACTTGCGCAGCTTGTCGGTGGATTCTGATTTCTTCAAGAATCTGGACCTCGGCGGTGACGGTGGATCGATCGATTCATTGGGGAGGAAAACTCCGGTGAGTGAACAGCGGCAAGTTCGTCATCGACATAGCTTGTCTATGGATGGTTCTTCGTCGTCGTTTGAGGCCGATTCAACCCTAATGATCGATGGAGTGAAGAAGGCAATGGACCCGGAAAGACTTGCGGAGTTGGCCCTAATTGATCCGAAAAGAGCAAAAAGGTCAACAACACCCATGTTCATTTTATCTCTTTGATTGAATTGGAACTTGAAACTTGAAACTTCTGTGTTGAATCTTTATGTGATATTTGACTGATTTTGGAACTTCTGAACTGGATTTGGATATGGAATTCAGGATTCTTGCCAATAGACAATCTGCAGCTCGTTCGAAAGACAGGAAGGTACGGTACACTAATGAATTGGAGAGGAAGGTTCAGACTCTGCAATCTGAAGCTACCACTCTGTCTGCTCAGGTGACAATGCTACAGGTATGAATTCAATTGCTTAAAACCCATTTGGCTTTGTTATGAAGTGTTTAGAAAGTAGATCGATATCAATACCTGTTATGAAGCTTTGAGGCATAAGTAGATCAATAGCAGCAGGCCAGGTTTAGTATCTTTGTTCGCCTGTTATGCTTTGATGAGACAATTTCATGTTATGCAGAGAGAGACTACTGAATTAGCCGTGGAAAATAAGGAACTCAAACTTCGGTTACAGGCTATGGATCAGCAAGCACAACTCCGGGATGGTATGCATGTTACAAGTTCTTTAAATGCACTTCACTGCATAAAAATTGTACTAAACAGGCAAAAAAAAAAATCAAAACAGGAGAAGATTTATGTTTATTTTTCGGTTGTTCACAGATCTGAGTGAAGCTTTGAAGGTAGAAGTTCAACGGCTTAGAATAGCAGCAGGCCAGGTTCCATTGATCAATGGAAATCCTTTCAACCGACCCCCTCAATATCCATCATCTCGACCGCCTGTACACCATTTTAGTAGCTCCCATGCTCAGCAGGGCCAACAGCAGCCATCACCGAGCTTGCCCACAAACCTGCAGCAACAAGATCCAAAATGGATGAACTCGTCCCAGCTTCTCGGTCGCAATCCCGATGGCCAAGCAAAACCTTAGAAGATGTATGTATGTACATGTAATATTTATCTAGTAAAAGAGGGTGATGGGTTATGGTTTTACAATCATTTTCTTGTACATGATTCATATATTTCTTATATGCATGAGAAGTTGGTCATCTATAGCTGTTACAGATGTGTTGTTTTAGTAGAATAGCTTGAGGTATAAGTGGATTATAACTGTAACAGTAGCATCATCTTATGACTCTGCTGTTGCTTGGTTTCTGTATGAAGAATAAACTCATTGAGTTGTTGATTTAATGATGACTTGATTATTTCATATAAAAGGTAGTGACTATTGAATTTTTACCAGAAATAGAAATTGAATGTTTAACAAAAAGGGTGTAATTTTGTGCTATGCATTTCCAGACAAATAGACATGTAACAGCTTAAGCCCAATATTTATCCTCTTTGGAATTTTCCTTTCAAGCTTTCCTTCAAGGTTTTTAAAAAGCATCGGCTAGGGAGAGGTTTCCACACCCTTGTAAAGAATGTTTTGTTCTCTTCCCCAACCGATGTGTGATCTCACAAATCCACCCATTTTCGAGGCTCAGCGTCCTTGTTGGCACTTGTTCTCTTCACCCATCGATGTGGGACCCCCCAAATCCACCCCTTTGGAGCCTAGCGCCTTGTTGGTACACCGTCTCATGTCCACTCTCCTTTGGAGCTTAGCCTTTTCGCTAGCACATTGCCCAGTACCTGGCTCTGATACCATTTGTAACAACTCAAGCCCACCACTAGCAAATATTGTCTTCTTTGGACTTTCCCTTTCTGGCTTCTTCTCAAGGTTTTTAAAAGACGTCTGCTATGGAGAGGTTTCCACACCCTTATAAAGAATGCTTCCTTTTCCTCCCCAACTGATGTGTGATCTCACATGACAATAACCAATGTCGGCTGAATTCCACCCAACAACTTTGGAATCTAGTTCCATTTTGGCCCCTCATTGGAAGGGCAAGATTCTTCAACCGGCAGCCATCAAATAAATCAAAACAATTGGAGTATAGCCTTTAATTATATCCAAAGCTCGAACAAGATTCGGTTGTGGGTATGGATGAGTACAAGTTGTCGTCAGTAGCAAAGCCTATACACATCAAAAGCTAAAGCTTTAACGTCATTTACAAAGCCACTTCTTGCAGTTTTAAATGGTTCAGGAGATTATGTTATGAGGCAAACTGAAAGTAGAGAGAGATAGGCTCAAATAGTTATAATGCCTCTAAATTTTCTGCTGATGTTTGTTCTTCTGTTCTTGTTTGTGTTATCAGCTTTCTTGCTTGTGCGTTCATGGGGTTGGAAAAAGGCAATGGAGGACATTCCTGGGAACTTGGGTTGGCCTATTGTTGGTGAAAGCTTCTCGTTTATATCAGAGTTTGGTAGCCCTGCTGGTATTTGCAGCTTCATGATCAACAGGCAGAAGAGGTACCGAAACTTCTTCTTCTTCGATTGTTTGTCCATGGAAAGCTCGGGTTTCTTAGATCGTTCTTAATCTATGTTTGGGAGTGATTTTGGCTATTTGCATACAGTTTTCATTTATGAAAGTAATATAAAGTACTATGTGTTCCTACCAAACTTGATGTTTTTGAGGGGAAAATACTTTTAAACATGGCCTTAGTGATTTATTCAATTCTCAGATCATATGCAAATCTGTCCTTAGGTTTGGGAAGGTTTTCAAGACCAGCGTGCTTGGGAGATTGATGGTGTTCATGACGGGGAGCAATGCGGCGAAGATTTTATTGACAGGGAAGGATGGTATGGTGAGCTTGAACCTGTTCTACACTGGCCAGCAAGTCCTCGGCCGAAGCAGCTTGCTTCAGACCAATGGTGAAGCCCACAAGAGGCTGCGACGGCTGATCGGAGAACCGCTCTCCATGGATGGCTTAAGGAAATACTTTCAGTTCATAAACAATTTAGCAATTGAAACTCTAGATGAATGGTCCGGAAGAACAATTTTTGTTCTTGATGAAGCTTCCACAGTTGAGTTCCTCACTTCAAAATAATCACATTAGAGCGTTTTGGTGTATGATATGACATAATATAAGTATTCTTGTTTTTGTAGTTCACTCTTAAAGTTATTGGTAACATGATCATGAGCTTGGAGCCTAAAGGAGAGGAACAAGAGAAGTTTAGAGACAATTTCAAGATAATCTCTTCTTGTTTTTCATCTTTGCCTCTTAACATTCCCGGAACCGCTTTCTATCGTGGTATGAAGGTAATAACGTTTAGTTTTCATTTAGCTAACACGAAACTCAAAAGCTTAAACGAATAGGTTATGGTATATGCATTTTTTTTTTCTTTTTTATCTGTTTTTCAGGATTTGGTTATAGAACTTGAATCTTCTGAGTACATTCAAGCTGTTTTCAGGCACGTAAACGAATGTTCGAGATGTTAGATTCGATCATTGAAAAGCGACGCAGCGGAGAAATTTGCCGACAGGATTTCTTGGACTCACTGATAATCAAACACAACAAAACAGGAGGAGGAAGTGATGAAGAAAAACTCACTGATGAACAATTGAAGGACAACATACTAACTCTGCTTATTGCTGGCCATGATACTACAACTGCAGCTCTCACTTGGCTGATCAAATTTCTTGGAGAAAATCCTCATGTTTTGGAACAATTGAGAGTAAAAACATCTTCCTTTGCAATTATAATTTTTACGGTATCAAATGGGTCAATCCAGAGTTGATTTTTCTTGAATTTGCAGATTGAACACCAACAGATTCAAGAACATAGGAAGGGAGAAAATCTGTCATGGGCTGATGTTAACAACTTACCTTACACTGCCAAAGTATGTGTATCAAACTAATTGAATGGTGAATATGAACTTCAATACCAAAATATTTACTGTAAAAATCTCAGGTGCTCAGTGAAACTCTGAGGAGAGCAACAATTCTACCATGGTATTCAAGAAAAGCAGCTCAGGACTTTGAAATTGGAGGTAATCTCTCGATTCAGAAGCCACCAAGAATTTGTCTGTTTGGTTTGTTCTGTAATTATTAGTATCTGTGCTTTGTAGGATACAAGATCAAGAAAGGGTGGTCTGTAAACTTGGATGTTGTTTCAATTCATCATGATGCTACTGTTTTTCCTGAACCCAACAAGTTTGATCCATCGAGATTTGAGGCACCATTGAGGCCTTTCAGCTTTCTTGGATTTGGCAGTGGACCAAGAATGTGCCCTGGAATCAACTTGGCAAAGCTCGAAATTTCAGTGTTCATCCATCACCTTGTCTGCAAATACAGGTCGTTGGTTAACGTTTGCATGAGTTTAGGGACTAACTAGACACATCAGTCGAGTTTATGAGTTTTAATGATGATGAACAGATGGAGATGTTTGGAGAAGGAGGATGATTCAGTGCAGCCAACTTTGGTGAGGATGCCTAAGAACAAGTATCCAATTAGAGTGGAGGCGCTGTGAGAGGTTCTTGTCTGCCGTTTGGTAAGAGGTTCCGAAGAATAAGCATGAGAGAAGAGGGTAGAGGAAAAGGGATATTGTCTAATATTTATGCCCTCTTAATCTTATCTTATTTCTATATTACATGTGGAGTTGACATGCTTTTAGCTTGTAAAAAATAAAATTTGTTTTTCTTTTTCTTATATTTTCGTTTGATAATAAAGACCTCACCTTAAATTTATTAATGATTCTAAAATAATCGACCTATTTATCATTCTAAACTTAATAATCTGATTTCAATTTTTGATGGGAGAATTTTAAATAAATAATAATAATAAAGAATTGAAATTTAAACGGATGTCATGGCTCATCTAGGTTGGCTTGGATACAAAGAACAAAACCGAACTTGATAAATTGGTGATACCAGTCTAAGCTAATCAGGCAAGTGGCCTTACTACCGACCCGGTCGAAAGACTTTTCTCATGTATGACGACACGTGCCCAGTGGTCCTTGCACGTGTCATTTATGCTTTATTTTATGTGATGATGTGATGATGTGTTTGATGTTATATGATGATTTGATGACGTTAGATAGTGATGCAGTGATGTTATATGATGATGTGATAACATTATGTGATGATGTGTCGAAGTTAGATGATGATGTGATGGTGTTATACGATGATGTGATAATGTTAGATGATAATATGATGTTGTTATATGATGACTTAATGACGTTAGCTAATGATGCGATGATATTATATGAATGACGTACTTGGTATGCTCGATGCATTTTATGGCAATATGATGAGTATGATGATTGTGTGATGTTTACCTTAATATGATGATGCTTTCCATATTGAACATGCTAGTGATGATAAGTGTCATATTGCATCATGTCGTTAGATCGAGATATAGGACACAACCCTAAGAGCATGAAAATGATATTAATATAAATATCCACGAGTATGTGTTACCTAGAGTAACAAAGAGATGAGACTAGAAGGTTATGTCAGAAGAGACATTATGATGGATTTAGAGGGATCTCATGCATATTGTATGTTCATAAGCATAGAGTTACTTCTCCTAGAGATGATGAGTGTGAACGCGCACAATATGATGATGAGTGCGAATGCGCACAGATGAGGGTGTTCATGAGGCGTATGATACTATGGGGTTCCGCTGACGTCTGAACGTCGCTACAAATTAGCTTGATGAGAGGGTCTAGGGGGTGTGCGAGCACCCTGGGGATTCACACTCGCATGTGTGAGTCGTGTGTAGGGAAGTACTACACATCCAATTTATCCGAGACTAAAGGCCACCCGTAAGATGATTAGAGACAGGTCCCTAAATCATGAATGCATGTGTTTGCATTTGCATGGCCCCCTACAGTAGGGCCACTTACTAACTATTCTTTGAAATACTCAGGTCGTATGCCACATTATTTGTCAAGTAAAGGCAAGGCACACTTGTACCGAGGACGGTGGCATCGCGAGCAGAGATTGTGACGGTGCATACTCATATTTAAATTTCTAGTCTTAAGTTAGAATAAGTTAGTTTGCATTTCATTGTTTGAAACTATTTTGTATTTGTTTTTATTTTTCTTTTTAGTATTTAAACACATAAACAGTATTTTTTTTTAGAGAAAAAGTTGTTTAAAATTTACTTTTATTTAGAACATGAATCTTACTTTTTCTTTTAAAATAAAAATGCTATTACTTACATGTCAGGAATGTTATGGGTGAAAAAATGATTCAAAATGTTTTGATATTGAAATTATATAATTATAATTATTCAATAAATTTCTTGTTTCTAAATAAATTAAATTTAGCATACCCTCCAGACAGTTAATTATTAATAAGTTGACTAGATATACAATTGTATCTTTGGGATTGAAACCAGCACTTGAAATCTTCACCTGCTCATGAATTTGATAGGCATATGATTTGTATAAACATCATGTGTTTCTTAGACATGAGGCAATGTGGAAAGGGTGCGAGTATTTTAAGGTAAAAATGGTGGAGGGCATGGAAGCATGACCCACTAAATGGACAACCAATTCATTTGAAACTGATAGCTCAAGAAAGGTTCAATCTTAATGTCTTCGAGCAAAAAAAAACAAGTGAAGCATTAAAAAAGTATGTCACTTGGATGGACAATATCATACCATTGTGGAGAGTCGTGTTTATCTAACATGGTATCAGAGTCATGCCCTAAATTTAGTTATGTCAATAGATTGGTAAATCCTCAAATGTCGAATAAAGGACTCCAAAAGAAAAAGAGTCGTGCCTCGATTAAGAAAAGACATGTTTTATTTGAGGAGAGATGTTGGATGATGAAAGTACCACATCGGCTAATTTCGGGAATGATCATGAATTTATAATTAAATAATACTCTTTCCATTGGTGTGAGTCCTTTTAAGGAAGTACAAAGCAAAGTGATGAGCCATTATGCTCAAAGGGGACAATATCATATCTTTGTGGAGTTTGGTGCCCGTTGTGCATGCCGGCCGATGAAGTTTCTTTGTACGATGTCTCTTGAGGCAAAAGACAATTTTTAGCCTAAATATTGAGACTTCTGGCCATCATTTTAAGGGACAAATCTAGACACTCTAGCTTGAGTGATTCATTACATTTAGTACTCTTCGAATATTGTTCATGCCACGACCCAACGTCAATTGCAGACGCCTTCCCACCGCCGCACCATGATCGAAAACCCGAAGAACTAGTTCCCCTCTTCCATGCTTCCTATAAAACTTGCGATGCACCATAGAATTTGTTTGAACTCCAAAGGATGATCTATAGAATCCATGGAAAGGGTCTTCACAACCTGCTTTAGCCAGCTTTCTCTCTCGACTATGAGCATTTTGGTGGCCACCAAGAGCTTGTGAGCTAAAAAACTTCCTTTGGCAATAATTGCAAGAGCTCTAGGCTCAGCTGCTTCTTCTTTACAAGCATGATAAAAAATGTCAATGAGGTTGAGTTCTTCCAAATCATTGTCATTGTTGGGGCTTAGGTTGAGGGTAAAAGGTTGATGGGATTTGTCGTTTGGGTTTTGTTTTGTTTCTGTTTGGCTTTCTTGACTGTTTGTGAAGAGACTCATTGGATTTAGAGGAAATTTTGTTGGAGTTTTTGTTTCTTCTTGGTTGATAAATTTTGGGATTGGATGGATATATACTTATAGAGGAAGATAGGGTGTTAGATGGTTTGTTGTTGTAGGAAAAAGATGTATAATTTGACTTCCAACCTATGGAAAAGGAACTTGGTACCATCATTAATAGTTAATAGTTCCACTCCAGATCAATCTAGTTCAGGAAAGAACAGGGGTGGCATCGGTACTGCTCTCGTTATCATCCGCGGATATGCTTTTTTTTTTTTTTTTTTTTTAGC